TCTTTTCCTTCCTTCCTTCCTTTCTTCCTTCCTTCCTTCCTTTCTCCCCCCCCCCCCCCCATGTAAAATTTGTTGTCTTTTGAGCTTCAGGTCTTTTAAAACAGGAAGAAGAAAAAAATAAAAGAGAGTGAGATTTTCAGGACCTGTTGGAGATCTGAGCAGAGAAGCAGAGAGCTGGGGGTGGGGAGGTGAGTGAGTCATAGCTTGATTCTGTTGGATTTTCACAAAATAACCAGAGATTTCAGCTGCTGCTGAGGAAAGAGAGGGGGCCCTGGAAGCCTGTCTTTCTGGCCCCCTTCCCAGCCTGCCTCTATTTCCACACATACTCCACTGCACCCTTGGGTGGCTCCTGGAGGCCTCCTGACCTAGCACCAGTTTTTTCTGTGTGTGTGTGTCAGGTTCCCATGGAAAGAAACCATTCCTTCCCTGGTCCCTGAGGGCGAACCTGGAGAATGACCTCAGCAGGCCATTGCTCTCCCTGACCCCTGTTTCCTTGTCCATAGCATAATGACGCCCTAGTGACGTCAGCATCCCCCTGGTACCACACTCCCCAGGGGTCAGCAAGCCTGAAAGGCCTGTCTCCTACCCTTGCTCCTCACTTTCCTTCTGTCCTGACTGCCTGGGGCTCTTCAGGGTCTTCACGGGGGCCAGGTCTCCTTTGTTGACTCTATACTTCTGTGATTCTTTGGCCAACCTTCTTCTCTCCATCAGACTGGGAGCCCCCGGAGGACTGGGTCCCTAGATTTGCTCACAGTTGTACTGAGACCACCTCACATGACTGCCCAGAATCATCAGTAGATTTCGGAGGAAGGGGGCATGTTTTCAATCCTAAAATGTGACTTCTTTTCTAAACTTTAGCATCATAGTCTTTGGAGCACACTCAACTCCACACTCACCTGGAGCACACTCAACTCCACACTCACCTGGAGCACACTCAACTCCTTCCTCCCTTAGGGACTGAGAGGAACATCTTCTATTAGTGGATTTGGGAGATTCACCCATTCAACCACCTGCCTGATGGCCCAGCAGCTACTTTGCTGCCAGCCAGCCAGTGTGGGAAAGAAGCCACGAATCAGTACCCTGCTCCAGTGAGCATGGCACCCACTCCATTCCTTTCCAGGGAACATCCTGAGCCATAATGGAGAAATTATATGAGATGTAATTTATAGTAAAAATCAAAAGAGCATTCGCTTTAGTGAGCCACCCATGCAGAAAGGGCGGCAGGCTGTTGTGGTGGGAGCTACAGCTGAGAATGGCAGAATCCAGGTTGGGAGTTGACACAGGATGGAGATCAGAGAGAATGCTGGGGGCCTGACCCCTTCTCGGTGGCCCGAGGACATCACTCGTCCATGTTACCTTGGAAGGGTCTCCATCTTGGAGACTACTTAGCAAGTGGACTGCACATCACAATTAGAAGATGGCATGTTCTTCCTCTGTGCCTTTCAGAGCCCTCAGCCACAGGGCTCAGCCACCAAAGCTGTGGGCCTCACTCTACTCGCTCCCTGTCCCCTCCTCCATGGCTGTATTGCCACCTCCTCAGGACAATTGCACCAGCCCCTGCTGCATCTCCTGACTTCGACTTTGGCTTCAATAAGCAGCCTACAAAGAATCTTCCAGATTGCAGACTGAGTCATGTCCCTTGACACTCGAGAAACATGCCATGGTCTCACCCTCATCCCTGGTAAAAATCCAAGCTGGGGCAGATAGCTCTGTAGGGCGGTCAAGACTGTCTTTCAAGGTCCACTTCCTGCCCCTAAGGCACTTCCTGTAAGATGCTCCTACTCACTCTGCCGGGACTCTCAAGGTTTAAACCCCACAACAGAACCTACTTTTGGGGGCCTGGAACAGGACCAGCAATGGCTGACCTAAGTCCTGGAGGCTGTTTGCCCCCAGAGGTGTAGAGAGTAGAGTGACTCAGCACATGGGAATAGGGATGCCACTGTGACCCTGGCTTCTCTCTGCCTCCTCCAGTCTTCCTAGGACCCTGTCCTGAAGGAGCTTACTCTAGCAAAGCTGAGGTAGATGCTACCTACCTCCCTCCAGTCCTCTCCCCTCTTTGAACCCTCTGGGCCTTGGTGACAGGCTGAGGGCCTCCTCCCCTTTGGCTGACCTGTGGCACAGATGTACTCAAGGTGTGAAGGCACAGGGCACAGATGGCTTCATTTGCAGGACGGTGCCAATGCCTGGTACTCGGGTGCATTTGCTTTCTCAGAGGGTGGCATCAGCCCAGAATCACCTCAAATTACAAGAACATCCTGCCTTTCAAGAAAGTGAAGAATTTCGGGGGAGTGTAGGGCGGTGTTTTGGGCAAACAGGGCCTCCTCTGAGTTCCTTCTGCCAAGCACTCTAGGTTTTCCTCAATGCTGCCAATGGTGAGGCTCAGGCCGTAGCCCTTGGATGGGATGGGCTCTGCCGGGTGGGCCCAGATGATCAGGAAGCTTCTGGGTTTACAGAAAACCAACATGGGGCCAATTTATTATGCTCTATGATGCCCATCTCATTTGGAGGGAGTGACACCCATTTGGCTGGCCTGTCTAACTCTGCTCTGGACGGCTGGGTTGTCATTTTGCGTTTGTGGAGACATAGGTTGTAAATGATTCTGATTTAAAACTTTTAGATTTACAGACACACTGGAAGGAAGGCCCAGAGCTCCCATGGCCTTCTGGTTCCATCCTTCGTTCTGCTAGGTGCGCAGCTGGAGGATGGCAGCTCAGTGCCCCATTGGCTCACTTTTCCTGACACCCCTCCCTGTCCCATCCAGAACCCAGAGACACTTGGTTCTGTCCAGATTCCTTGCTTTCTGTGGCTTGGCTGTTGGAGTTCTTTGTAGGATGTCTCTCAATTTGGGTTAACTGCTTTGAGTCTTTTGTAGGATGCTCTTCAATTTTGGTTGTCTGACATTTGTTTTTTGGTCATTTTGGGGGTGATGCAGTGTCTCTTCATGTTGAATTGACCCAGGGTACATGTGGTACACAAGGGATCCCCAGAAAAGCCAGTCTGTACTGTCTCAGAGGTGTATCCTCGCCGGCTCAAGGCTCATTGACCCTTAGTCTTTCATTAGTCATTTAGCTGCTGACTGCAGTGGATGGCACCAACATAAATTCCTGAGTTACCTATTCAATGATCTGTGTCCCTTAATGACTCATGGACAGTTGAACACAATTTTTAAAGTTATTGTTGTGTCTGTGGACGTCGAAGTACAAGTTTATGGAATTGGTTCCTTCTATACAGGTCCTAGGGTGGAACCCACGGAGCCAGGCTTGCACCAAAGTCATGTCTACCATTGGGGGTATCTCAGCAGCTTTTAGACATTTGAATGTTGAGTTATGTGGTAGTCTGAATGTGATTACAGGGAGTGGTGCTATTGTTTGGAGGAAGTACGTCACAGGGGGCAGGCTTTGAGGTCTCATATATGCTCCAGCCACACCCAGTGTCAGTTCACTTCCTGTTACCTGCAGGAGCAAGACACAGCTCCTTCTCCAGCACATCTGCACATCACCAATGCTGATAATGGACTAAACATCCAAACTGTTAAGCCACCCCAATTAAATGTTTTCCCTCACAAGAGCAGCCGTGGTCATGGTGTTTCTTAACAGAAACCCTAAGACAGTTATCATATTAGACTGCTCTGAAGGTCCAAAATGAGGTCAGTCCACGTTGCACTGTTGAGTGCTACATACACACACACTCAAGGTTCATCTAGTCTTAGTAAGAATCACCCATTTCCTCCAGTGGGAGGTTGGTTCCAGGAGCAAATGCACACCCAGTGAGTTATTCTCTATTCCTCTGTCTCTGAAAGAAGGTGAACACCCTCACACCTCAGGGACCCTGGCTAGGTCACAGAGCACTAACTGTCCCAGGCTGCAGGACAGTTTGATGCAGTTGGAGTGGAGACAACCCAGATGTTTGGTGTATTTCAACTTGTTTACTTTGAATTAATTTGTAAATAAGTTAAGGTAAAAATCTGTGCAGCTAATAAAGCCCATGTTCTTCCTCTGGAGTCACTTGTCCCCAGTAGGCTCTGGGATAAGATCTAAAGTTTCTGGTTGCCGTGACTGGGTAGTGGCAATGGCTACTGATATCTAGGGAACAGAAGCCAGGAAGGTAGCTTCAGTTCCCACGGTGCCCAAGAGGGTCCCCAGCACCCCAGCCCAGTCTCATGTGAGTAGTGGCCAGAGAAACAACGAATACACATGAATAAGGACCCCGGTGATCCTTGGGAAGAGGGGCAGCTGCCAGAAGCCATTTCTCTTTCTCCCAGAGCATCTTTCCTGATACACACGGTGATTCACAGGTCCTCTCCCCACTAGAAACACCCAGGAAAGAGCCTTGCCTCTGTGAGAACAATGGCTACAGACGAGGATGAGGGTGGGGAGATGAGGGACAGGCAACAACAGAAAGGAAGGAAGCTAAGTGTGCAGGAACGCTGGCGAGCAGTACCAGCATGCCTGAGGACGACAGGGCCCTCCTTCTGGATGCTGGTTTCCCAAATGAAACCACATTTTACAGGATTCATGTACTCTAAGGGCTGAGGGGCTTACTCTAGCTTCTGCTCACAAGACAGCTGATAAATAATCCCCCAGCTGAGCTTCAAAGCCAATCTGCTCTTTAAAACTTAACCTTTCCTGTTTGTGTCAGAATCTTCAAGTTCTCTCCCATCCATCCATCCATCCATCCATCCATCCATCCATCCATCCATCCATCCATCATCCAGTTAGGTACTCATCTATTCATCCATGTACACACCCATTCATTCTGTCGGGTACCCACCCATCCCATCAGGGTCTACTGTATCCTCAGTGAAAGATGCTCCTATCCTGTTGCACTCAAGCCTAATCTAATAGATGGGAACAGATATTAAGAAATAAAATCAAGCAAAGTCTGTGCTAGAAGCAGAGGAACCGAAACGAGTAAAAAAAGGACCACACTCGTGCTCTTTAAAGCCCAGGAAGCAGAGCTGAGCAGTGTGCAGAGAACAGAAGAGAATGTGACATCCATCAATCTTTCTTCACAAGTTTATTAAGCAGATACTGTGCCATATACCAGAGAGGCATGGTGTTAACAACTCATAAAGCTGGGTGTTTGGGCCCCAGAACTCATTCTTACAGAGGTGATTAACAACCAAGACACCCTCCAGACTGGGCACAGTGGTTCATGCCTATAATACCCATTACTCAAGAGTCTAAGGCATGAGGGTTCCAAGTTTGAAGCCAGTATGGGCAACTCGGTGAGATCTTGTCTCAAAATAAATAAAAAGGGGGGCTGCCAGTGTAGATCAGTGGTAGAGCACTCACGTGTGGACCTGGCTTCAATCCTAGTCCTGTGGAAAAGAAAGAAAAGGACATCAATGAAAAATAAAGCGACCATATCACGGAAGGCCTAGTGCTAGGAAGCAGAGGAGTGGTGGGACGTCGCCCTGAAAAGGATGCAGGAGGTAGCCAGACCCTGCACAAGGTGCTGCGAGCTCAGGGCAGCAAGACATTGCCAGCCTACAGCAGACAGGGTGGGGCCAAAGTCTCTGGTGCCTTGGCCCAGCCATAGCATGGGTACCGACCGGGGCTGGAATAGCCTGGCAAAGGTTGCCATGAGGGACCAGGTCAAGGGCAGCAGCCAATCCCCAGAACAAGGGTCTACTTACAGTGTGATGCTCTGCAGACACCTTCAGGAGAGCCTCCACCCAACCCTCTGAAGCGAGCACAACAGGATTGAGGGGGGGCCCTCCAGAAAGGTCCTTTCCAGTTATCTTCCACGAGGCTATTCTGTTTGCATAGGGATGGAGATCCCCTCTTGGGCCCTCCCAGTTCTCCCTCTGTCTCTCCAACCCCAAGACCCCAGAGAGTCTCTTTCTGGACAAGGTTCCAAAATGATCACTAACCTTGGACAGCCTGCTCAGCTAGCCAAGCCCCCTCCCAGGTGCCTGGACGCAGGTCATGGCTTTGAAATGCGAGTATGGTGGCCTGAGAAGCTCCAGGTACTCTGACAAGACCCTCCCACTTCTCAGTGGCCTCCAGATACAACTGTCTCTGGCACTTTCTACCCCAATCAGCTACCTTGACAGGGAAGGGGACCTCTGAGGACAAGTTCTGTGTATAACCAGGAACATTCTGGAAGCTGTTAGCCCACTCCTAAGCAGAGAGAAGGCTAGTTCCTCCCAGTCATAAAATTCAAGGGAAGAACAGCCCTCCTCTGCCAAAGGCCTGGGCCTCTCCTGCTGGGCCCCAATGCTGTCGATGTCTCTTGAAGCCCTGTAGATTCCACAGCTCTGAGGAGCCACCATGCTGGGTCTATGTTCCAGCAAGATCCACCTTTCTACTCAGAAGACCCTTACTGGATCTGGGTAAGGTGATAGTCAATTCTTACCTCAGGAGACAGAGCTTCCCAGAGCTCTCCTGCTTAGCAAACCTTCCCTTCAGGATTGAAGGTTGTGCTCCACATACAAGAGACTGAAGCGGAGCAGGTTTCCAATCTCAAAGGGGCCTTTGTGAGGCTCCACATCGCACACCGTGGTGGCAAGGCTCCAAAGATGCTTACAAGAGAGAAATGGGGCGGGGAGTATCAACAGCATAAACCAAACAGATACGGCTATATAAAGTTCTTCGACTTAATGTCTGACCTGGTGGCCAAACAGCCATTAAAAGACATATTTATGGGCAATCTTTGGGCTACTATTTGACCATGTGAGACATAAGAGTCATGATTTTGGAAATACGAGTCCTTTTCTAATGAGGGAATACAGGTCATTAACAAATAGGCTTGGAAGTCATCTTCCAAGGTCTTTGTCCATGATCCTAGACAAATCATCTTCCCAGAACCCTTTTCTTCAGAGCCCTCTCCCAGGCAAGTACGGGAACTCGAGTCTGAAGATGAGATTTCTCAGTTTAGAAAAGATCAAGCAGAAGAGGACAGAGCCATGGTCCTCCAGCTGATCCAGCAAAGCAAGGACAAGGGACAGAAACAAATGAATCAATGAGGCCCATCCTTCACTCAACCACCATTACAGACAACAAACACAGACACTCACAGGTGACATGGCTTGAACAACTGAGGATGGCACCATGCCTAAGAGGAGCTCAGGACAGAAGGGTCCCAGGAGTCCTACGCTGAGGCTCAGAGAAGGTGTTTTAGTGCACATCCTACTGCTGAGGGCTGGGGTACTTTGTATTCCCCAGAGGAAGACCGCAGCTTTACTGGGGTCCCAGGAGTATCAAGGTGATCCCTTCAGAGTCCCCTCTGTGGATGTGTCTGACTTGGAGATGTGGCCCAGACGCTGGCCATACGAACACACAAAGGCTTTCCCACCTCTCAGCTCTCCAGGCTGCCAAGAAGGTAAGCTGTGATCTCAAAGGTGCTGAGCCACTGCTATTACAAGTGCACCCCACCACCATCCTCAAGGACACCTTGGGCTCTCCCTACCACTTGGGGTGGTTGTTCAAAACTGTTTCAGCCTACGGCCTTAGCTCTGGCTTAGGCTTAATGAGGGTCCCTTTTTACACTGCCAGTGAGGCCCCAGAGAAGCCTCTCCCAGGCGTTACCATTTTAGTGAACATCCCCCAAATTCTTGGTGGTCGAGGGTAGCCCAGATAGTCATCAGCTCCAAGTCAACCTTAAGCTTCTGCTCACTTGCCTCCTGCATGTAGCATGACCACCATGAGGGCCAATGAGGCCTCACCTGAGGTAAATTATCTCCTTGCCACTCTTCCCCGTAGCCGTCAGAGCTTCTAAGTGTAGACCCCAACCCGAGTGAGGGGAAAGTTACCTGCCTCCCTCTTCATGCCTCTGTACAGCTCCAGCCAGCTCATTCCCAACCAGCTCCCTCTCAGGCCTGCTGCGGGCAGGCTCCTGAGGGCCTGACATCACCTCAGCTCCAGGCTCCTCTTGGACCCTCCTCAAAGGCCCCTCCATTTCCAAAAAGCAGCAGAGGGCAGTGTTTGAGAAACTGGCTCTGGAAGTCAACTGACTTCCTAAGTTAGAAGCTAGGCTGTGCCCCTTCCTAACTGTATGGCCCCGGGCAAGTCAGGACCTCTCTTGTAGTTAAGCTTCCTCTTTAAGTTGTCATGAAGACTCAGTAATTAAATGAACATAGAGTCCCCCTGAGGCCTGGGACTCCACACGGCAGACACTATAAACAGGTCAATAAGAATGAGGGCATCGGAAACCCCAAGACTGAGTGCAGAGCAGTAAGCAGGTGACATGGTACCACAGGACGCAGCATAGGCTTCCGGAGATGAAAGCATGCAAACAGCCTTCTTTTCACACTATCAGTCCTTCCAAGAAGCAAGAGTGAGCTGGGGAGAAGTCTGTACAGCCAAGGAAATGCAAGAAACCCAGGAGGGATAAGAACAGAGCTGAACCTGGGGCCACCCAAGGGTCCCTTTCCCCAGCCTCAACCCCTTTTTCTCATTTGCAAGCTCCAGATTCCAGGACCTTCTTGATGATGTCTCTGCTTTTCTATGCCAGGCCAGGCCCTACCCAGTTGGGGTGGAGGAAGGCCCAGGGGCAGACAGCACAGATGTTATGTTGCCATGGTAACTACCTAACTCTGGTACAGGCCAGGTTACTAAGGAGTCACAAAGAGGGAACTGGACAGCCATGCTGGCTTATTAAGCCTATCGAAGGCCCCCATGGAAACTCATTCTCTAGTCCCCTGGCCTTCCCTTCTGCAGACACAGTCTGTGTCAATGACCAAGCCCCAGGCCTCCTAGACCAATGACACAGCAAAGTCAAGAGGGCCCAGCCAACAAGTCAGCTGCAGGGTATCTGCCTAGCTCCAAGGGCCCAGTATTCCTGGGACAAGAACAGCTGCGCTGTACTTCAGAAAAGGCAAAGGCTCCCTCTTCAAAATGAGTGACAGCAGGCATCTCAGTGGACCAAAAGGGGGCAGTCGTCCCTTGCCCATGGCCACCTGTGGTCAGGCGGATGGCGGGTCCAGAAGACCAGAGGTTCCTCTATGTCTTAAGTTACATATCTGAGGATTTTGGTAAAAACCTAGTATTTAAACACTAGTCAATGAGCTATTATTATCCAGACCAAGGAAGGAAGGAAAAAGAAAACTGTGTGGCTGTAACATCACGTATTTAGGTGACTAGGACGAGGGAGGGGTGGTCTCTAACTCTGCCTTACAATGGTGGGTGTTCAAATATACTATTTATCACCAGGGCTATTGCTGGTAGTTCTTTCTGAGGCCCAGAGCTTGGTTGGTCTCACTTTGAACCCACTCAGATTCTTGCCTGGAGTACTAGAGAAGAAAACAGGGTACTGAGTTTAGCATTCATTTCTCCTTAACACCAGAACAGGGCCCGATCCATAGGCTTTCTCCCTGACCCCATCCATCCCTGAGAGCTCTAACCTCTCCACTCCATCCTGTTCTGTCTGTCCTCAGACCCCACACTTGCTTCAGTGTTCCTCACCTGTCCCTGGTACCTCCAGCTTATTCATTATTCACAGGTTAGGCAGTGCCCAGGCCCTAATCCTGCCCCATTCTCCTGACCATATCTAGGCATAGCAAAAGTGTCCTCCAAATCCCATCGCTCCAGCCTGCTGCCAACCGAGCTGCCATTTGGCCTATGACATTTAAAACCACCTGCCTCCCCTTGCCACATAGGACCCAATACTCCCAGTTGCTTGGACACTGCTGGCTTGCTTGGCTCCACACGCCTGGCTCCCCCAGCACACTTGCTTGCTGACCTACAGCTCAGGCCATTCAACCCTTTTTCAGTCAGCCTATCTTAATTTGGCTCCTTCACCCCATGGATGCCCCCACATTCCTGCCCCTATAAGGAAAAGTCAAGCAGGGGACTAGGGGCGTTTTGAGCGGCAGGACAAGGTGCGGGCCATCTGTATGCCTGTGACATGGGAGCACATGCCTAGAGCATGGTGTGATGTCCGCCACAGCTGTCCCCTTCTCCTTGGCTTCCAACCCCAGTGGGCCCCATGGCCCTGCTATTAATATAATACAAAGAGGCCTAGCAGCTGGCTCAGCCGAACTCTTTCCACAGGCAGTGACAACTGTCATCATGTAGACTCCAAATGTCCCCACCATACATTCTTCCAAAAAGAGCACAGCGGAATCTGCCTGGATGCCTGCTACTGAAGACGTGCTGACTGGCCCTGACAAAAACAGAGATTGCCAAAGACTAATTTCTCCAAATTCTTTCAAGGGGTTCCCAATGCAAGAAGTAGTTGTAAGGAAGTCCTGGGGCTTACAACGGCCTAAGGGCCTAAGGTAGTGCCCAACCCAGTTGAGTGGCACGTGTCACCAAGCACAGGATAAAGCTGTTTGAAAGTTCCCTATCAGTTCTCTGCAAGGAAAAGAAGACGGCTTCTTCCTCTCACCCAAAGAACCAGGAAGGAGCAACAACCATAAGCTGAGAAGAGGAAAGTCACTGCTGTCCAACACCTGCAGGGCTCCAGGAGAGGAAGGGTGCCGGTCAGCAGAGGCAGAAAGGTGGACATGCACATGGCTACCATAGCCACACTCAGGCTGTTGACCTCCACTTGGGTGTATTTAAAAACTTCCTTAACAAGCTTAAACGTTGCACATGGTAACAGGATTCTAGAAACCCTAAAAGAGACCCGTGCACAGAGGCCTTTCCTGGGCAACCTCTTCATTTATGGAGAGAAGAGAAGAATCAAGTCCCCACCCTAACCTACTCCCCAGATAACCCAAGATGGCTCCAACTAACCCAGACCTGAAGGCACAGGCTGAACATACACTTTAAAATTTTAGCATTGGGGGCAGAGTGATGGTGGCTCAGTAGTACAGCATTTGCCTCATATGCCTGAGTCCCTCGATTCTCTCTCTGGCACTGGGAGCAAGAAAAGAGAGAGAGAGAGAGAGAGAGAGAGAGAGAGAGAGAGAGAGAGAGAGAGAGAGAGAGAGAGAGAGAGAGAACACCTAGCATTTAAAAATACTATCACGAGCCCCTGTGACCTGGGGACTAGGTCCAGTCAGGTGTATGTCCTGCTCACTGTGAATAGTTCCAGTCCATCATGCAGGCATGATTGGCTCTCTGTGCAAGGAGACCTGGGCCATAGACAAATCAGTATTTTTAGGCAAATCTTCTTGGCATCACAGACAAACAACATAAAGTGAAAGACGTCTACCTCCTTCCACCTGAATCCTGAAAACCCAAAGGGCCTTGAGGACAGATGTCATCCTATGAGACTGATGAGACCCTGGCCAGAAGCAGAGCTGGCCCTGGCACACGGTACTCTGGGAGGCAACTCACTGGAGCCCAAGAGCAAGGGAAAGCTCTTATGATCAGGCTGCTTTGTCTGCAAGGCAAACATGCACAGTGACAGCAAATGTCACAGCCAAGTCCCTCAAGACAATGACTTCTGTCCGTGTATTATTAGGAGGCAAAGGTTAAGGAAGGAAAATAGGCCCAAGGCATTTCTCCTGGTTGCAATTACACTTATTGGAAAGGGAGCCCCTTCCACCTCCCCAGTGCAAACTACCTCATCACACACTCACATCTGGCCTGAAAGTTGGAGGAAGGCTGGTGAATCAGTTCAGCCAGCATCGGG